AAGTAGTTTTATATTATGAATATATTAACTTACAGTAACTAGTAGTAAAAATGAACTACAAATACTATAGGTAGTAAGATTCTGCCATCACAAAATTCACTACAACAAACCATAGAAGGATCAAATTAACATATAAAAAAAATAATGATTATAAAAAAACCATTTATACTCATATCAATCATAAAATATTTTAACTCATATTAACATAAAAAGAAGAAAAAATTTAAAAGAGGGTAAGGTTTAACTTCCATAAATTTAATATAAGTACTTTAGTTATTTAACCCCACCAAATACCACTTAAAAGAGTCTCACTCAACTTCTATGGGTCCTTATCCCAAATTGGGGTATTTGCTAAGACCCTAAAAGTGGTTTCAAAACCACACCTAAGTGCTCTATATGTCCAAATCTCAGTTTAGCCACTTAAAGGTATTGTTAACATACCAAACTTTTATATTAATAAAAAATTACTTATGCCATGGTCATGTATCTTAAAACTTAGACTATCCACTCATAAGTGGTCATTCTATAACCACTCTTTAGCATCTAATGCCCCAAAACATGGGGAAATGTTCATTATCCTTCAACATCCTTTATTTGATCTCACAAAGTCCCTTTCCAATGGTAGTGCTCACTAACATTGCTATTAAGTCAATGCTAGGAAAGCCCATCTAATATATCCCACTAACCTTTCAGACTTTCTCACCATATAACTATACTTTTAGTTATTAAGCAAGAAGACCACTCTTTTTTCTTTCCATAATCAAGGACTTTGATATGACATTTCAAAACACTGTAGTCTAATACAAGCTTTATAGATACTCTCCCCACTTTTTGCCACTAGAGTGCCCCAACCATATAGGTGAAGTGAGATTTTGATAAACCACGTAAAGTATCTAAGTAGGTAGTGCCACTTATATTTAAATTGGGAACATTGACCATTTAATCTCCTGAAGAAGCTCTTAAATACTCCACTAAATCATCTTATTTATTCATCTATATTTACTCTAGCCTTGGATTCCTCATTATTCATATTATCACCCACTACATAAATATAACTTTCTTTAATCACACTAGTTCCCTTGGAACCTTATTATGCTATAAAGACCTACAAAACCTCCTAGGGTTTGGGAGATAAATAGATTTTTACCCTTTGAACTTGAAAGTAATCTTGTATTTGGTCTAGAATTGGATTTTAGACTTGGTTTTGGATTTGATCTAAGCCCCAGTCTCGGACCCAATCTTATATTTGGTCTCAAACCCAATCTTAAACTTGATCTCGGACTTAATCTCTCATACCCAATTTCAAATCTATCTTGAATTGATTTTGGACTTGATCTTATATCTTAGGCTTGGTCTCAACACTTCTATATGTTATAACATTTGTCATGTATTAATCATTATTTTGTCCCTTTCTAGAGATTCACTTATCCATAATTTTGTGGTTGTTCCTCAAGTGTTTCTTTAAAAGTTCCACTCCCACTCTTGACTTTTAAATTGAAGCTTTTGTTCTAAATATATTTTCTCATTAAATTTTTGTTTTGGCCACTACTACATAGCCCACATTCAGCTCCATTTTAGGATTTATAGAGCATTCTTAAGGGATATTTTAATTTTTCTTTTATAAATGGATAAATTTTCCATCATTTACATAGAGTGACCTCCTTAGGATTTAAATAACAAACAATGATCATTGACAAGATAAAAAGGAATTTTGTGTAGATAATATGTTTTTGTTTCTAGCATTGAGATTCATTGACTTAGCTATTTTTTATTTCTCTTTTTATTCATTTTATTATTATATATATTTATGTAATATATGATGCTTATGTAAAAGAAAAACAAGATCATAAAAGAATATTCAACTTATTTTGGCAAGGTTTTTGAAAATTTTGATAGATTTGTCAAGGTTGATTCTAAGAAAACACAAAAGTTCAGCATTGAAATACTCAAATTTTTACCTAGCTTAATTCCTAAAGCTTCTTAATGTGTTAGATTCCCATGGAGTCCAAGAGGAGTAAAAGACCTCTTGTTGCAGGATTGGGACAATTCTCCACTTGCTTCGAAATATAAAATGAATAATATGACAAGCAGAAACAGAAGGAAAAACAAAACAAAGTCTAACATCCAAATCTGATCATACCTATTTTCAAGATGTCTACAAAAAGTTAAAGCATCACTTATAATCAAATTGAGATAAAGAGAAGAAAAAGATACCTAATACTCACCTCAAACAAAAATTCAATGTTCAGCCTGATCCAAAGACAGTACCTTGTTGCTTGTAGGTGCCAAACGAGGAAATGAATGGAACATTTCCAGAGGCAGTAGCAGCAAGGCACACACTCAGAGAATTTCGCTGCTTGTTGCCTTGTCCACTCATTGTCACGCCTGTCCAATAGCTCGCCTGGAGATAAGAGATCAAACCTTGGAGGTTTTCTCTTTCCATTGTAATCTCTATAGAAGAACGTTGCTCAGACGAGATACTTGTTGCCCAGCACCACTGGAACCTCGTAGCAATTCTTCTCATTGTATCCATCCAGGAAATATCTCAGCATTCTGAGATCTTGAGAAGAATTTGAAATGGAAACACTGGTCACAGCACATGTGGAGGTGAATCCGGCCCAGCATCTCTCACCCACACCTGGCCTCCAGAATCTGTGAAATCAATCGTTCCACCTTTAGAAGATCTTGAAAAAAAATGAATGGAAAGTGAGGCGAGAGCTTACTCGCATCATGCACTAGGATAAGACCGCCAATGAAGAGGAGCGCCAGCGCCATTCTCTAGCATGTTATGTGGCACATCACTTGCCACATAAGCCAAGATTGCCAGTCTGTGAGAACATTTCTTATGATTATATCATTGAAGTTTTATTAATGTCAAATGAGAAATCGAGGATTTCTCTAGTGTCAGACCACCATAGCAACAGTAGCAATCACCTAGATGACACCAACAAGCTCACCTTCACAGCACCAAAGAGCCTACTAGGAGAGCTGTGGTGGATTTACTCAGGAGGAAGCTGGAAGAGGAGAAGGAGCAACTTTCCAAGGCAGTGTATGATACCAAAGCTATGACACTGAACAGCCTTCACACGGGACTCCCCAGCGTATTCCAGTTGTTGTCGGGCTTCGAAAGAATTTTCTCCCGCTCTACCACAACAGGAGGAAGCTAGTGCCATGATCTAGAGAAGGAAGCTTGTAATGATCTAGAGGAAGGTTGCAGCTATTCACCATGATCTAGAGAAGAAAGCTCGCAGCTATTCGCCGTATTCTCGAGGAGGAAGTTCCCAGCTATTCGCCATGATCTAGAACTCAAGGGGGAGGAGTTTTTGCCACGATCTATTTCATGCTTCTACTTAGTAAATGTTATGAGTAATATACTCACGAATAAGCAAATCTTCCCGCTTTATTCCATCCAGGGTTCTTGGGCTAGGGTTTTGGGGAGCTCCGCTATGATCTGCGGCACACCCTAGCATCCGTGAAGACTAAACCAGGTTTGCACAGGAATCCTCTCTCCGGCGCGCAATGTCTGTCCTCCTTGCACAGGCACAGGCCCTCGAGCGCGCAGTAGTCGCGGTAGACCGAGGCGTTTTGCTTGATCCCGAGCACGGCGTCGGACCACTCGCTGGAGAAGTATCCGTCGGGATCGTAACGCTGGCGGACCTCGAGGAATTTGGCCAGGTTTGTGACTCGAGAGCCCATGTCCTCGAACATCGCGTTTTTGTTCTTCCCCCAGTGTGGCCTGCCTTTGTATTTCTTGAGCAGCATTTGCTCGATCTCATCCGTCGCGTCCTGGTCCAGCCGGGGCGTGTTTTGCCGGCGGTCTCTGAAGTAGAGCAGCTCGAATGCAACTGAGTCCTCGGGCTCGGCGAGGTAGGCCGTGGATCCTTTGATGAATCTGAGCTGTGCTCCGCCATAGATATTTGCACCGCAGAGCTTGGTTGGGTCCATTCCATCGCGGATCTTCTTTATGTCTTGGATGGCTTCGTTGATCCTGGAGAGTGGGATTGCTAGGGATGTCTGGAAGTAGAATTGTCCAGGAACGTCGGGGTCCCAGTAGCATGTTAGCCTCTCCCCGGATGCTGATCGTGTGTTGTTTAGTGCAGTGTTTTGGCAGCCTCCAGCGGTTTGGAGCTGGTGATTAAATCCCACGACTGGATATCCGCGAAAGGTATTGCTCCTGTCATTCACCAGGCCATCTCCGCTCGAGACTCGGTTCTCAACTCCGTTTAGTGATTGTTGGCAGACGAGGGAAGCGTTCATCTGGGACATGAAGTTCTCCTCTACGTAAAAGAATCACGATTTCAGCGTAAGGTGAGAACTCTGATTTTTATGAGATGTTGGAGCTTACCTCGGACTCTAGACTGTCTTACGTTTGTCTCTGGAGCAGGATCATTGCCAGCGTTCCTTCCCTCGCCAGGGGTACTTGCCGAGACCTTGTTGTCTACCCTCAGCAGGATCTTCTTCTGAGAGATGTACCAGTTGATATCCCCAAACGCATACCTGCTTGCGAATCCAGCAACGTCATTCTCGAGGGTGCTGTCGTCGCGGGCCTGCTTGGTGATGGAGCGCTTGAACATCGGCTCCACGTCGAGCGTGACCGTGGATATGGCTCCAAGGACGCCAATAGACAGCTTGGCTGCATTCAGGTCCGGGCTTGATTTCCCAAGTTTGATGACTTTGGCATAACCTTGCTCCCTTGATGCAGGAACGACGATAGTGATTCCGGAGACATAGTCATGCACTGCTCCACCTTTCCCAAGCAGACTGCTGCCGTGCGAGCCCGTGCTTATTACTCCGGCGATTGATAGACCGTTGAAGTAAGGCGTACAGGGCAGTGCCAGATTCTGCGCAGCTAGCCTCGCCAGGAGATCTTGAAGCTGGACTCCTGCGTCGGCGGTGACGGTCATAGCGTTGCTGTCGATGACAATTCTCGAGTCATACCTGCTGGTGCTAATCAGGAGTCCGGAGCTTCCTCCTGGACATGCGGCGCGAACGAGGCTGTGAGAGAGCTTACTCACAACCTTGATCTTCTGCCTCTGCTGCACACCGCTTGCAACCGCGGCAACGAGCTCAGCTTCGGTGGTTGGGTAAGCCACATTTGCTACACCGCACAAAGCTCTCTCATACCAGATCCCTTGATAGTTTTGCAGGGTGCAGGCACTGCTCCCGCTCCCGCAGCTGATTGGGAGAATTGCTACCGCGGAGCTGCAGCAGAGAAGCAGGATCATCACCCACACACCTGGAAGAACACTCCATGCTCCGGTCAGCCTCATTGCGGTGCTGGTCGCTGCTGTGGAAGCATACAAACAAGTGATTTTCTCTTTTCTATATGTTTGTAGCCGAGCTGAGCTTTCGTTTTATGTAGCTGGCTGGCAGCCTGACTGGACCGGCTGGCTCGACGTCGCTTATCCATTCTGAGGCGTATAAAAAGCTGACTTTACCAGGCAAAAGCGTGTGGGGGCCAAGAACTCTACGGAGATAAGAACACTTAAATGACAGGAAGAACTCTCGAGCGTCAAGGAACTCATGCTCTTCATAAGGATTTCCATCCAGAAGCGGAGGATATACAGTCGCTGTTGAGTGGTGGATTGTGACAATCACCGATCAAACAAAAGGGATTCGGATTCTTGCTTTAAGTTGGCGTAAGCAGCTGGAAATTCTGCAAGCGGTCAGGAAGTGGACGAGCTGTGGCTGGCGGCCGGCTTGCTCGCTTGCAGAAACAGCGACACAATCTTTGAGAACACGCGAGATTCGAAGTCGTGGCTCTCGCGTATCGAATGTCGTGCACGGCCGTAAAGACTCGCTCGTTTTCTATGTGGAGCTTCCTTCCAGGAAACTTGGAAAGTGCCTCTTCTCTTGCTTACATTAATTACTGAGCTTTGTATTTTGCAATTCAAAGAATAATCAAAATGATTTTCATTAGAATGGGAAATTTAAAGGCAAAAGTGAGTTTAAATCAATTTCTAAGCTAATTTGGCATTATACCAGAAGTAAATTTAATTTTGGAGTGATAAAATTATCATGCAGAACAAATTGTGTGGTTCCATCCCAGAGTAACATGATCTCTTGGATTTTTACAAGTAGTGCTATTTGTTTGTCTACTATCAACCTATTTTATATAATTTTAATTGGTATGCAGTAACTGATTATGTGATGCATCGCTATCAACAGTGCCTTTGGTATCACTGCAAAGGTTTAGCACTTTGTGGCTATGATTATTAATATCAACTACATCCTGTTAAAAGTTTTAAATACATTGGCAACCTCAACAACACATCCAAGATTATCATGATGTATACCAATAGCATTAGTAAATTATGATATATAGCTTGGAGCACAATATGAACGAAAAAAGTTCATCACTAAAAACTTTCCTGCTCCAAATTTATATAAACTCAGAATATTAGATTTAATTCCCAATATCACTGATGGAATAGTAGTATTAACCAAATATGTAAAATTTGGCATCATATAATTAATATCATTACCCCCATTTCAATAAAATTAGCTTCATCCAAATGATCTTTTACTTGTTTGTGCAGGTAATATGTGAAGTGTAGCAAAAGAATGAGGATATAAAGAAGGTGGACAAACTGTAGCTCCAGTATGACCAAAATTCAAATTTGTGAAATAAATTAACTATTATATCTTAAACTAGAACATGTAAAATCACTAAGTTTCAGACCACGAGTCAAAAAATCAATAAACAAATATCCATCACTAAGTCTCCCAGTAGGCTTTCCAATTGTCATTCCATATGGAAGATGTCCAGAAAGGCTTAAACCACCGGCTTCTAAATTCAGATTGCGAGTGTTTGATAGTGAATCAGTAAAACTAGAGATCGCAATTGGATATATATTAAATTGAAAGCTACGTGTGTGTGCTTTCATTTTTATTTCATTGTTGATATTTTTACATTAAAGGTTATTAAATTATGCACTCAATAATTTAGAATTAAATCTACCTTATAATTCGAGGAAGAGGTAATAATGGCTTTCTGATCGTATGCAAGTTTGTAGAGTCCTGTCTTTGATACTTTCCATGGCCGAAATCTTTTCCGTATTTGTACACTGAACTCATTTGACAGCGGACAAATTGTGTCGAGGCTGAGAAGCAGGCATATGTCAGGAACTGCAATTAAGCAAGTGGTTCAGGCTAACGTTACCACTTAGGAACGGGAGTGACGCCTGCAAAGTCCAAGGCCTCCAGATCTCTCATCCCCAAATTCACAACCAAAGCATTCCATCATTGAAATTCTGCCTTTCGCTATGCCTAAGCTTCAAGAATCTTGCAGCCTTACCAAAAGACCAGCTTCTCCAATTCGATCGACACCTTTACTTCCAACACTTCCATGTCTTTGACCTTGTTATCATCGTCAAACTCCACCCAGGGAACTCCAATGTCACTCGCGAAGTGCTGCGGTGCATACACTAATGCAGCTCCATGAACCCAGCGGTTTCACAGCTTCTGCTTGGAAAGCTTGACAACCTTTTCCAATGGAATGAAGTGATTGAAATGGAGTAAAGCCCGAGTCGTGTTAAGTGGAATGCAGTCCTCAGGATTCCATTTGCCTTCAAGCAAGTGCTGCAAGTACTCGTGCATTGCCACGAGAAGAATGATCCTAGCAACCAGCTCGCCCCTCTCCCGTTCTACAACGCAAACTTCTCTATAGCGGGACGCAGATATCTGTGATTGTGCATAAGCCGTGCCGCTGCCCCAACACGGCTCCACTGACACTTAATGTGATCATTCGTCATCGCACGTCGCCACGAAGCCTGCCATGAAACATGAGTCGGAGAACAGCTGCGGTCCGATAGAGGCCATGAACAAGGCAGCAGCCTGTTCCTGCGACAGCGCTTGCTGGGGAACGATTTTCTTACGACAGCGATCAGCCAGCTTATACTTTGCGAATCCCACGCTCTGCCCACAGAGAAAAGAATCCATACTTCTCGGATTACCACGGGAGTGAACTTAACACAGGTTCCAGCTCCAACGTCGTCAAGACAAACAAAGCCCACATGGTGATTTTCATAGTTCCCAAGCTCTTGGATTTGTGCTTTATGAGAGAAGAGTTTCTGGTTTCAGCCGAGAAGCTGGAAATCAGGTACGCGAGAAAGGCCTGCTGGCTGCTCGAGTGTAAATGGAAGGAACTGCCACCATTAGGATGAGTCGCCGTTCATGCTTAGGATTGCTGTGAAGCATGATAGACTTTGAACATTGCCCTCGTGAACTGGGATCAATGTAGCTGTTATCACAACGAGAAGGGATCCCCCCTTGTCCTGATATCTGCCCAACTAATTTGGAATTTGCTTCTAAGTATTCAGAAGATGAAACTCGGTCAGCTTCGCCATGCACGATGGATCGAAAATGATGGATTGGTGGGGTACTGAAGATTTGCCTCACGGAAACTTTGATGTCAAGTTATTGTGCAATTCGCAGTTCGATCAATCCTTTTCATAATGTCAACTGCTCAAAGTATCTCGGGCTCTTTCAGGTACGAAGGCTGCCCGCTGAGACGGCTGTATTGTGCCAGATCCCATGAGGGCCTATCGTGTTGTGCCACGGCTCGATCAGCCAGTGATCTCGGAGAAAATCGATGGTGTGTGGATTGGAAGCAAGCGTTTCTCGGCCATGACAAGTTATCTGCTCTCTAAACTTGATGCTTACACCGCAGCTTGGGGCGGAACGGTTCAAGTTTCAAGGACCCTTTGCCCGGAGCAGTGGCTGGGGGAAATCGTTCAGGGTGTGCAGCCTGCGCAACTCTGGCGTGTTTGTGATTTACTGTTCCTGTGAAGGTTCCACCGGGTATCCACCGAGGTCCGCTCTAGCTCCGTGTCTTGAGGGCGTGGTTACGGCATTGCGCATCTGATCGCTCGCGAGCTTGCTGCGTCCAGGTTGACAGCCGTTGAATGGTGCGAGCAGCAACTCTTGTTCTCGGAAATCCACAAGTCCATACTGGAAGGTTTCATCTTGGTAGTTTCCAGTGTTTCGAAGGGCACTGGGTCTTATGCCAACCGGCGCTTAAAAGCTCAAGCAACTCGGCCTCGAGAGTTATCAGCCACTGACCACCTCGAGAGCTAGATACGCGCCAATACGGATGGTGGCACCTAGAGATGTCTTCAGCAAGGTTTCACCATGGTCTTAAGGTAAACTCGATGTTACTGAGCACGAGAAGCATGGGAAGCTGTTGAATTCCAAGCTTACTGGAGACATGAAAGTGGAGATACTGAGCAACACTGTTGGATCCACAGTGTTGACCCTTCCCAACTGGAACACACACATCCAGAAGTCAAGTGGGATGACTTTGAGAAGCATCGATCTCAATCACGCTAATGCAACCAGCTTTGGTTTTTGCAAAGGCATGGAGCTGGGGAAGGTTTGGACCCATCGACGACTTTCATAGTCAAGACGGCTCCGGAAGCAGCAGGATTCGACATGTCCGAGTGCGAGTCGACCACGGAGAAAGCTTTGCCTGCTTGGAGCTCCTCAAGCAACAATTTGATTTCCTCATCTGTTGACTTGAGGACCACTGCTACTTTCGTCGACGTTCTGGGATCATTCATGTCTCACGTCAAGAACTCTTACATTCAAGCGCAGAACTCAGCCCTGGATCTCCATCATCCGGCCTCAGATTTCTAGGTGGCAGTAGTGGCTCTTCCCAATGCTGTGGTGGGAACAGCCGTGCTTTTCATCAATCTCCAGATCAAGCTCTTCAAGAACTTGACAAGTTTTCAGAAATGGAAGATGATGATGCTCTGTGTGTTGAAAAATTAAGGAAGAAGAGAAAAACTCTATCGCCCAAATATCATCATTGCTATACATACAGCGGTGAGAGTCGTGACTCTTTCCAAATTCACCACGTGTCACCACGTGTCTCAGCCGTACGGTGATCTCGGATGTACTACATCCTCACACCCCACTCAGCCGTGATCAGCGTGCGAAGGCTGGATCAGAAAAAAGAAACTAATGCTAAACCACTGTGAACCTATCTCACTCCCCCCACTCAGCCAAGAAAAGCTAAGCTTGTGAAATCAGCATCTTGTGGTGTTGAACAAGAGTAATAGCACGTTCCAAGGTACCCAAGCTTGCACACAGCCCAGCTTGTATCAGGACCCATCAGGAACCAGCATTTTGTTCCATCTCCCCCACTCAAATGTGATCTCTCCATCAGCCTCAAGGCCCTTGCGCACAGCAATTCCATGCCTAGTGCCCAGCAAGAAGAGAAGCCTCTTGGCAGCATCAACAAATCCCCAGCCCAAAGAAGCCTTCCCTTGTAGCAGCAGGGGCATCAGATCGTCTCCAGCGGTAGCAAGCAGTGCCACAACCCTTCCAATTCAAATCCAGGCCAGTCTCAATCAAGAACCGTCTCCAATTTAGGGTTACCTGCACAAGACAAAATAAACAAGAAAACCTCCATCTTGATATTTGCAATTCACAACCACTCCAGATCAAGGGGCTCATCATCTTCCTCCTCTTCCTCCTCCATTCAGCCTAGGATTTAATCCCTGATCTCTGATACCATGTTGAAAACTAAGGAAGAAGAGAAAAACTCTATCGCTCAAATATCATCATCGCTATACATACAGAGGTGAGAGTTGTGACTCTCCAGATCCACCACGTGTCACCACGTGTC